GAAGCTTTATGAGTAGAGATAGAAGGAGAAGCTGTGGGCTGGAACAGGTTATCCTTTATCTTCATAGAAGATATGGCCCCTGTGTCAGCTTTCACACAACTGTCAGAAGTTGTAGCTAATGGAGTCATCTCTTCTGATGATTTGGGTGATCAGCAGGAGTTCTCTCCCTCCCTGTTCCCCCGAATGTATAAGTTGTTCTGCAGGTGTTTTAGATGGATTTTTGCTGTGAGGAAAATGTTGCAGCTGACCAAAGGTATGGAATCTCAAGAAGTGTCAGAAATAAATTTGTCTCTGCATCTAAAATGTTAAAATTGAGAACAATTTTTACTTAGTGTAGTATATTGTATTACTGTAACAGTAGGTAGCAGCATCAGTGAAGATAAGTCCATCCAGTACAGATGAATACTAAAATGTTCTTGAGTGCTTTATGTACATAAATGACATTTCACATGTGTAGATGTGTGTTACATAGAGAGGTTTTTGAGAAAACTTACATTATATTGTAAAAGCTGAATTACATTATTTGTGTACAAAGATTACGAACTTTTCATTTTTCTTTTTTTTTTTTTTAATCCACAGTCAAAGTATGACGAACTAAAAAAAGCTGAGAAGGGGAATAAACAGCAGCACAAAGTTCACAAATACATTACATCATGTGAGCTGGTAATGGCTCCTGTTCATGATGCTGTGATTTCTCTGCACCTTCCCAAGGTGTGGGATGACATCAGTCCTCAGTTTTATGCTACATTCTGGTCTCTGACAATGTATGACCTTGCTGTCCCGCATAGTAGCTATGACAGAGAAGTCAATAAACTTAAAGTCCAGATGAAAGCCATAGATGACAATCAGGAAATGGTATGTTTATATAATTTTATGGTTCACGTTAAACTTTCTAACCTTGAAACACTTTTTTTCATGAAATCCTGTATTAAGGTTGTTTAGATCTGGGAGGTTTTGTCACCTGATTCATCCATTCTGACCTGTCACATTCACATAATTTGGATTGATTCTTCCTTATAATTCTTGTGTTAAAAGTATCAGTGACTTCACTAAGTGAAAATTATTAGAAAATCTGTGTTTCAGAAAGCAATCTTTGGCACTTGTATCTATGATTTAGCTGCTCACTTTTGTCTTAACTTTAGTCAGCCATTGTTCATAAAATCAGTTGATTACTAGGGCAGAACATTATATAGTGAAATAGAAAGCTTTTCAAGTATTCTTTAGCATTATCAGGAATTTAATTGCTCTATCTATAGCAAGCGTTAGTATAATACTAAGTGAGTTGCACTGACATTTTATAGCCTCCAAATAAAAAGAAAAAAGAAAAAGAACGTTGCACAGCTCTTCAGGACAAGCTCCTTGAAGAGGAGAAGAAGCAGTTGGAGCATGTGCAGAGGGTTCTACAGAGACTGAAATTAGAGAAGGATAACTGGCTTCTGGCAAGTAAGTGTGTGTAGGGGAAACACTCTGAATGTTTTTGTAGTCATCACTGTCCCCAGAACTAAAAGTTCAGGTTGCACGAATATTCTTAATGTTGATTTTAAAATTTGATCTCTTTATATGTTGCGGTACGTTGGCAAGGTAAACTTTTAATTGGAATGTAATGGGTATTTTGCTGCAAATGCGGAGCAGTTGGTTTTCAGAGGGATGTTTTGTTTCTTGCAATGTCAAAACCTTTTGAATACTGCACTAATTTAGCAAATAAGGGATTGACCAATTCAGTGGAAAGTTGTAATTGCAACATGGCTTGTGCTTATTTACTGCAGTTAAAATGCTGCTAAGTTAGGATAATTGCTACGTTGCAAGAAACAGGCACGTAAACTCTCAGTGAGTGGTTTGAGTTAACTAACTTGGTGTGCATCCTGCGATTAGGAGCAATATGCCAGTACTTGGGTGGTAACAGAAACCCTGTTCCAATGATGAGATAAGTATTGTGCCAGCCTAAAAGCACCACGGAATGAAACAGCATGCAAGTGTTTCATGTGGCAGATATGCAGGAGGAAGAACAAACTGTTTTCTCTGACGAAGCCTCTGTAATGTTTCATATTGATTGTGAACTCTATTAGTGTGGTTAATCTGAAATGTTTTTCTCTGGTCAGTTTTCTTCTCTGGAAGAACTTTCTGTTTGTAACTGGAAGTAGTTGTTCGTCTGTCCCAAGGAGCCTAGCATAATCCAGTGGAAAAGCATTTTATTGCCCGACTCATGTAAGATACACCCAACTGATTTAATGGAGAAACACTGACAGTTAAATCTAGAAAGGTTATTCCCTATAAATATTTAATGTACTGGTAGAGACAGCTAATAAGATACATGAAATTACTGGTTGAAAAATTACTACCTGACTGAAGCTTGGTCGAGAACTGACTGATAAATTTGTCTGCTTAAGGAAGCACCCAAAAGTGTGTAGGTACGGTCTGTATATAAACATGTACTCTTAATACGAGCAGTTGTGGGGCATGGGGAATAGCTTACAGTTGGCTCTTGAGTGCTCAGGGTTCAGCTGCAAGAAGTTTCCCAGCATTGAATCTGGAGACAATCGTAATTTTTTCAGCAGTTTTCACATTGAAAGACATTATCTGTAATTGTGCTATTTGAGGAAACTGAACAGCATATCCACTGTAGTAGTATTTTTTTAATTATTTTATTTTGATAAAGTAGTTGTATCATCAAGAGTAGCTTAATTGTTGTCAAAGTAAGTAGACTGGTAGTTTTAACAATCAGAAACTAGCTATTCTGGCTTTTTACTTGCTTCACTTCGAATGTAAAACTTACACACTTGATTGTTCTGTGAGCTGTGATTCTCCTGGCTTAATTTCTTTTAAGTGTCAAAGGCTTGTTATAACCTTGGAGGGGTAGATACTAAAATAAAGTCAACATAATTTTTTTTTAGTTAAGTAAAAGCTGACAGAATAAACCTTGTTCAAGAAATGACTATGAGCATCACAGGATCCAAGGAAGTAACTCCTGAGTCTTATGACTTGTGCCCTGCAGCCCGCGTAAGAATTCCAGTGCAAAAACACCAGCTTCCCTCATGGGGATCACGACTGTTCTCCTCTGAAGGCATCCGTTTCCAGTCTTCAGCTCTGTGCTTCACCCATATGTTTGTTTTCTTCCCACCTTCCTTTTGTACTGTACCTCCCTCCCAGCTTGTTTTTATGCTCCTTGTTAACTGGGCTAGAGCTGCCATAGGACCAGTCTGGGTTTGTGTTCGGCTGTTGTGTTGACCAACCACTGGTCAAACGGAGCAGGTAACTGTTGAGCATACAGCACAGTCTTTTACTCAGTGGTAGAATGAAACTTTCACAACATGTGTAGATGGGGATGGTGGTTTACTGAAGAGTGGTTCTCTGTTTGAATTCCTGTAATTCTTTGGTTGATGGAAAAATGATTGTTGGGTTGTATACAGACAGCATGTTCTTCCATTTCTAAGGAAACGGAGCTGAAAGTCAGCCCCATCTAGGAAGAAGAAAACAAGTGTTCTAGAGGAATAGCAGATGGTGTTCCTTTTGCTAATGTGCAGAATTTAAGCAATTGGAGGAGTTTACCGAAGTGTGTTTTTTTTTTTTTTTCCTGAGCCTGTTTTTTCCCTCATTATGTAATAGAATTCTCCCAATAAGAAATAAAGATTTGCTACAACCCAACCACCTTCCTACCCTTCCCCCCGTCCTCAAACAGTTAAGCTTATTTTGACTTTCTGAGCAGAGCCAAAGATATGTCTGGAATAAAAGTGGCCTAATGTACAAACTCGAGAATATGGATGTGTGGTACTGAACTTGGGAAGAGAGTAGTTGAGTGTTAACCCATTAACTTTCTTTCTTTCTTCCTTTTTTTTTTCTCTCTACTTCTTTGTTTTTGAAGAGTCTACCAAAAATGAGACTATCACAAAATTCTTGCAGTTATGTATATTTCCTCGATGCATTTTTTCGGCAATCGATGCAGTTTATTGTGCTCACTTTGTAGAACTGGTGCATCAGCAGAAAACGCCCAACTTCTCCACGCTTCTCTGCTATGACAGAGTAAGTAGCTAGAACCGTGTGTATGTACCTATTTCTGTTGTGAGCATGCAAAACTATCATCTCCCCTGCCTCCCAAAAGAGGTAAATAAAATCATCATCTATGTTTATTTCTAGAATCTGTGACAATCAAGCTTCCTTTTGTACTTCAGATTCTACAAACCAACTTTTCCCAGAGCTTCAGGGGTTTATTTTCAAGAAATTTGGGGGTTGATTCATCCTAGTGAGACTGGAGTTTCAGAGCGGAGTGACTAGCAATTGTAAGAGTTGCATTCAGGTTTTGCAGCCTTCCAGTGGTCTGTGTTTCTGTGGCCTCATCTCACCCGCCCGTTGTAGCTGTGTGCCCTACTGCTGTTGGGTTAGCTTCCTTGCCCCTCCCCCAGCAGCATCCTTAGGACCCTTCTGACCCTGGTGAATGGTGCTACAGACAGTGGACTAATTGGTATCACTGCTGAGACCCGAGAAAGGACTCCCATGATGACATGGCGAGTGACAGCAGTAGCAGCCTGACTTTCTGGGTCAAACGGGACGGTTGGAGGCATTTGTTCAGCCTGTTCTCACTGTTCATATAGCCGTTCTTTTTCTCCTGTGGAGGAAAAAGGTGAAGAATGTAGATGGAAGAATCCTGCAGGATGCACTCAGCTCCAACAGTGCCAGCTGACTGTACTGTTCTGGGCTATCAGAACCATTCTGGTGCTTGCTGCTATAAGAAGTCAAATGATTAAGTTAGTGCATCATCTGTACACTTACAACAGATTTGACTATGAGCTTTGATTAAAAGGATGTGTATGGGGCTGTTTTGTAAAAAAATTATGGTGAAGATTGTTTTCCTATGAAAAAGCAATTTAGGTTGTGTGTTTTCCTTCGAGATGAAACATTTGAAGTAGGTACCTGCTTTGATTTCGTGGGTCCCAAAGGGCATTCTCACTCTCACTCAAATACTCAGTCCGTGTTCTAGGTGACAAAAGTAGGCAACTGCATGAGCTCTATCTGAACCTGTGCAGGCCAGGAAGAGAAATCCTTTTGCATCAGCTTGGCTAGGTGTTTAATTTGAAAACAAAACAGTTATATGCCAATGAAGACACACTTTAACTATGGAAAACTGTGTGTTACCAGCAGCAATATGCTTAAAATTCTGGGCTAAGTGTGAAGGACCAACAGTTGGGTAATGAAGTCTTGAAAACAAACTGAGAATATTTTATAAGAGGTCTCGCTTATATTTAGAAACTAGCTTAGTGGTTGTTTAGATGAGAGAAACTTAAAGTTCTTGTTGGGTCTTGTTCCTTTTGTAGTTCAGTAAAGTCGTAACCTTTTATTACTTCTGTTCACAGGTTTTCTCTGATATTATATATACGGTTGCAAGTTGCACAGAAAATGAAGCTAGCAGATACGGCAGGTTTTTATGCTGTATGCTGGAGACTGTGACTAGATGGCACAGTGACAGGGTCATATATGAAAAGGTACGTGAAGTTATTAGAGGGAGTTTGCTCGTGAGAATATACAATGGCCACTTGTTTAATTCGGCCCAATAGAAATGGTTTTAGTGAAATCGTTAGATTTAAAAACATGGTGTCGTTGAATTTTTCTGATGGTGTAATCTTAGAGTTAAGTTTCTGTAATTCATGTAATAGAAGTAATGTTGTACAGTATCAAAAAAATACAGTGGCTAAAAAAAAATTGTACTCTTCTGATTTTCTCATAGCTTGTCTTGAAGATAATTTAGGAAGCATATGGAAGCTCTCATAATACTCCTTACAAAAGCTAGTTAAAGTACAAGTATTCTCTCACCCACAGCTAAGATTTCAACATAAATAAGCTTTTTTAAAAAAGCATGTAAGTCATGTAAAATGTGATTGTGTCTTAGTCTTTAGGAAAATCAGTGAAAAAGTGCTTCA